TTCAGACAGATCTAATTCACAAATTTTTTTTTTAGATCTGTTTCGGATCTGTCTCAGATAAGTTGTATTTTCTGATGATGTTGTTGATGTTGTATTTTCTGATTGTTGATGTTGTATTTTTGGATGATGTTGTTTATGTTGTTGTATTTTCGTATGTTGTTTCAGATCTGTTTCAGACCATTAATAATTTTGTTTCAGATCTGTTTTTAGATGATGTTGTTGTTGTTGTTTTTGTTGTTGATGAGTTGTATTTTCTGAATTTTTATTTTTATTTTTTTTTAGCTGGGGAATGCTCGGGGTCGGGGAAACCCGATCCCCGTTGGGGGCGGGGGTGGGGGCAGTGATAGGTTCCCCGTCGGGGATCGGGGCCCCCGCCCCGTTGCCATTCCTACCCCGGAGTTTCAATCTTTAGTCAATTACAAATACATTTTCTTAAAGTTTGCTTAAAATACAGATTATTTTTTGTAGTTTAAAAAATTATAAATATTCATTTATTAGAATTTTTTATTTAACAGAATTAACCAAAAAAATAAAATTTATAATTTCTCTATTATACAATAATAAAACTACCTAAATTATTAATTGAAGTATATTTTTAATATCATTAAAAACTATTAATTGACTTGATAATTTATTAATAAAATGACGATTTGTTATGAAATTAAAAATCTCAGGGGTGGAATGTAATTTTCAAAATTACAGGGAATAATTTATATTTTAATCAAATCTCAAGAGATGTATTTGTAATTTACCCTTCATTTAAGGGTTGGTTTGGGGTGTCCTAAAAAAATGCACTTTTTGTCTTTTTACGAAAAGATGTGCAGAAAAGTAGAGAGGTAATGTGATGGAAAAAAGATAAAAAGATAAAAAGATGGATTATATAAATATAAATAAAGCACCTCTCGGTAATAAAAAAGAGACAAATATTCAAATAAGTATAAAATTAACATCGACTTAGGGGTTGTTTGGGATGATCTAAATAAGTGCACTTTTTGACTTTTTATAAAATATGGGTTAAGTTTGAAGTGATGTGTTAAAGAGGTAATGTGATTTAAATAAGATGATGTGATTTAAATAGGATAGTGACTTTTTAACTTTTTAAATTTTTTCAAACATGCCAAACTAGTCCTAAGATTCATGTTGCATTAAATTGCTCGATTGCGTAAGATTTTGCCTTATTCTAAAATACTTCTCAGGCTGAATTGCTACATATTGTTTAGGGTTTTTAAAATTCTATGATTTTTAATTTTATTTTATGCTTTTTACTGGCATTATTTGGAAAGGTTGACAAGGAGATAAATATATGTGATACGTTAATAATTATCCATATTCCTGGGATATTTAGGGTCTGTTTGGTAACGTTTATGTTTTTAATTTATATTTACAAAAATTTTATAAACTGATTTTATTTTTAGAAAAACATAAACTACAAACACGTTTAGTAATTGACAAAATATTTAAAAAAAAATTAAAATATAAAAAAGAGTAAGAAATGGCAAGTGGCGGCGGAAGACGGTGGTGGCAAGTGGCGGCAGAAGATAGTGACGGTGGGTGGCGGGTGGGTGGTGGTGGTAGGTGGTGGTGGCAGGTGGGTGGCGGATAGCGGGTGGTGGTGGTGGTGGTTGGATGGGTGACGATGGCGGTGGGGTGGTAGCGGTGGGTGGGTGGTAGCGGTGGTGGTGGTAATGGCAGTGGGTGCGATGCAAGGGTGATTGGTGGGTGGTTTGATGGTAGGTGGAATGGGTAACGGTGGCGGGATGAATGGGTGGTAGCATGAGTGGGTGGTGGTTGGTGGTCTGGTGGCAAGGTGGGTGTGATGGCAGGGTGGCAGATGGCGGGTGATGGTGGTGGTACAGCAGGTAGGTGGCTGGTGGTGGTGTGAGTGGGGTGACGGTAGCGGTGGTTAGCGAGTGGTGGTATGGTGGTGTGGCAGGTGGGGTGGTCGGGTGTGATGGTGGTAGTGGTGAGTGGTGGTGGCGGGTAGATGGGGGTGTGTGGCAGCGGGTGGTGGGTGGTGTGATAGGTGGGTGGTGAGTGGTGGTGGCAGGTGGTGGCGGGGGGGTGGGTGGTGGGTGGTGGTGGCGGAAGATCGTAGTGGAAAATTGGTGGGTGTAGCGAGTGGGTGGTGGTGGCAGTCGGCGCAGGTGGTGGCGGATGGCGGGTGGTGGCGGTGTGGTGGTGGTGGTGTGGGCTTGGGTGACTGATGGCGGGTGTGGGTGTTACGAGTGGGTGGTGGTGGTAGCGGGTGGTGGGTGGAATTGGCAGTGGTGCGGATGGCAGGATGATGGTGGGTGGTGATGGTAGGTGGATGGGTAACGGTGGCGGGATGGTGGGTGGTAGCAAGATGGGTGGTGGTGTGTAGCAGGTGGGCTGGTGATGGCAGGTAGGTTGGCAATTTGGCGGTGATCGTGGGGGTAGCAGGTAAGGTGCTGTGGTGGTGAGTGTGGTGAGCAGTGAGCGGGGTAGGCGAGTGGTGGTAAGTGGCTGGCGGTGCAAGGTGGGTGGCGGTGGTGGTGGTAAGTCGGTTGAGTGGTCGGTGGCGGGAGAATGGCGGGTGTGGTGGCACGGCGGGTGGTGTGGTGGTGGTGATAGGTGGTGGTGAGTGGTGGTGGCAGGGTATTGGCGGGGGTGGGTGGGGGTGGTGGTGGCGGACGACCCGACGGTAGTGGAAAAATGGTGGCGGGAGGTGGCTGTGTTGGGCGCAAAAAAAATTGAAAACTCAAAATGGAAACACATTTTTTGAGTTTATATTTTTTGGCTAAATTTATAAACTGAGACCACCGATTTATAGATCAAAAAGTTACCAAATAAGTTTTTATTTGAGTTTTTTAAATTTTTGTAAATATAAACAGAAAATTGAAAACGTAAGTATAACCAAACGACACCTTTAATTTTGAAATTCAAATATAAAGGTTTTTTTTTTGGAAAATGTTTGGTAGCTCAAAATTTTGTGGCTCAAATGACTCAAATCTGTCAAAACGACGTCGTTTTACACTCAAAATCTGTCAAAACGATGTCGTTTTGAGTGATTTGAGCCACAAAATTTTGAACTACTTAGGGTGTGTTTGGTAACGTTTATGTTTACAGTTTGTATTTACAAAAATTTTATAAACTAGTTTTTGTCTATTTTTTGTTTATTTTTAGAAAAACATAAACTACAAACGCGTTTGGTAATTGACAAAATGTTTAAAAAAATTTAAAAATATAAAAAACGACACCTTAGCATTGTTGTTTTTTTTTTTTAGTTGGGTTAGAGCATCTCCAACCGTTCATTTCTTTTTTCACCAAATCTGAGTAAAAAATAAGTTGTTTTCTCAATTTGATACGGTTTCCTCCAACGGTGAGCATCAAACCTGTCGAACAAAATATATGCAGAATTGAGGGAAAGGTCATCCGATGGGTCGACTGGCCAGTCAACCGGTAAGACTAATTTTTTTTTTTAATTTGTTTGAACCTACATATTTGAAAGGGAACCGGTCGACTGGTTGGTCAACCGGTCGGACATCCGGCAGGTTGACCGGTTGATCTCCCTCAACGATAAAGCACAGTAAAATAATGAAATCTGGAGCCTGTTCTCACTTTGATGATTTTTTTGTTCAATTATTTTGATACCAATTTGCTAAAACTATTGGAGCTCCAAAAAGTGACTTTTTCACCAAATTTCAAATCTGATGGAAGGTTTGATGAACCGTTGAAGATGGCCTTAATCAATAGAAAGTTTTTTAATTATTTAGAAATACAAAAAAAAATTAAAATTTGTGTTGAGAATTTGAAACTCCTATAAGACTTTCATCAGAGAAATCTTGGGTGTGTTTGGTTTTTGTTTGTAGAGTAATTTTTGAGAATGAAAAGTACCAAAACTTGTTTGGTTTGCCTTTTTCTAAATATTCTCTCTAAATTAATTTTGATTTTTTTTAGAGTAATTTTTGAGATAAAAAGTACAAAAACTTGTTTGGTTTGTCTTTTTCTAAATATTCTCTCTAAAACAACTTTGATTTTTTTTGTACAGTAGTTTTTGAGATAAAAAGTATAAAAAATTATTTTGTTTGCCTTTTTGTAGAGTAATTTTTGAGATAAAAGTATCAAAATTTGTTTGGTTTATCTTTTTTGCAAACATGTTTCAAAAGTAATCCTGAAAATTGGATAACCAAAAACATTTTTGAGAGTTTTTTTAGAAAAATTTGTTTGATTTGATAACTCTTAAAAAAGTGTTTGTAGAGTATATTTTCAAAAAATTTCTCCCAAAATCAAACCAAACAAGGCCCTTGCTTTTTGCCTCTATAATATGAATTATATTATGGCCATGTTTGTTTGGGTGGACATGAACTTGTGATTGGACTAATAGTCTAATAAAATTATTAATCCGATATTTGGTTAAACAATTGAAGTACGAATTAATTATTTTAAACTTGATTATTAGTTAAGATAGGATACATAATTCAACGGATTCGTAGTCATAAGACTATTAGTCATGGGAATGCTAATCCAGTCCGCCCAAACAAACATGATCTATATGTATTAATTAGTGTACCAATTGATTATGTGATATAATTTTAAATTTTTTTGATATTTATAATTTATATAATGAATTAGGTCAATAATAATAATATCATAAATAATATTGATATATTAATTAATACACTAATTATTGTAAGATAATCCAACGGATTCGTAGTCCTAAGACTATTAGTCATGGGAATGATAATCTAGTCCGCCCAAACAAACATGGTTTATATGTATTAATTAGTGTACCAATTGATTATGTGATATAATTTTAAATTTTTTTCATATTTATAATTTATATAATGAATTAGGTCAATAATAATAATATCATAAGTAATATTGATATATTAATTAATACCCTAATTATTGTAAGTTTCCCGACCTATATAATATATAGATTTTATAATATTAAAATTAAATTGTAGGTACAGACAAGGAGACAGAATGTCTTTTCACATTCTTTTAGCATATACTTTTTAGGAGATTAACCAAAAAGCAGCTTTCGGCTTTTCAGTTGCATCCTTGTTCTGTCACTAGCAGCGACTAATGAACTTTACACTGTTGGGCTTTCTCTTTTGATGTGTTCATGAGTTGAACATCTCAGAGAGGATAGAGATAGAGATGGGAATGGAGAAGAAGATGATAGAACAAGCAGAGGAAGAGTTGGAAATACTGGAAGCACAGCACCCAAATAGGTTTGAATACCTAAAGATTGAGCTCAAATCCTTAATCTTTCTTCTTCATTCCCAAAACATCACTATTTCTAACAACAACAACTTCAACAAAAGCTACAACTTTCTGTCTTCCTCTTCCAACTCCATCCTTTTGCCAGCCTCTTCCACTGCTACTACTCAAGGTTAGTTCTTTCTTTCCTTCTACAAATAGGTGGAATACTGTTAAAAAAAAATTTGGAAATCTGGGAGAGCAAAGAAAAGATTATTAATCTTCATTGTTTGGGTAGACTGAAATTTTTACAGGTTATACTATTAAAGTATTTTTTTATGTTTTTATTTTTTTTTAGAGCTGAAGTAACTTTTTGTAGTGCTCGTTTGGGTTTGGGTGAGATTGGGACTATGCTCGTTTGGGCTTGGATGAGATTATCACATCTAAATCATAATGGTAATATTTTTTCTCCAATAAAAGTTAAAAAGTAAAAAAAATTCATTCCAACCCTGCATCCCAAATGAATGAAGACTCAGGTGTGTTTGGTTTGTGTTTTGTGATAAATTTTTTTAAAAAAAATTCGAGGAAAGAGTTTTAATTTTTTTTTTTTATTTGGTTGTATATTTTGAAAATAGTTTTGAAATTTAGAATGATTTGATATTTTGTTGTAATTGAGTAGATGTGGACGAGAGAAAAGTGATTTGAGAAGGAGAGATAAAAGAGAAAAAATGATTGATTAATGTAGGAAAGAGAAAGTGATTTTGGAAAAAAAATTTAAAAAATTTGAATCGAACAAAATTTTGAAATTTTTTTCAAAAATTATGTTTGAGAATGACATTTTATTTTTATTATTATTTTTTTTTTACAGAAGAGTGCAAAATGTGGAGTGAATCGACAGTATTTTTTTTCTTTTTTTTTGTATGAATTGAATTTATTTATTTAAATTTTCTGACTAAATCCCTCAATTGCCAAATCTAGTTGGATTAGTATTATATAAAATTATTTATTTTAAATCCCAATTTATTTAAAACTGAAAAGATTTATTATGAGAAAAATTAATTCTTTCAATTTCTTATCAATTCACCTCATTTTTCTTATTCAATTTTTTTTTGGCCCTTTACTCTTTCCAAACTGTTTGTTGAACAGCATCATCAAGCAACAAGAAGAGGAAGAAAGGGACCATTGAAATGCAAAGAACAGAACAACCAGCATCACCCAAGCACAAGATTCAAAGGGCTGATTGGGAAGAGTCATTATGTAGTAATAGGAGGGATGGAGTCGAAGTTGCCATTGAGAGGGCTCAAGCTTGTCTCCTCAAAATTCAACAATTTAAAACTAGTTTTTACTGATTCCAACCAAAAAACAAAAACAAAAACAAAAATAAAAACAAAAAAATGATCACAGAAGACTCCAAAATCAAATGAGTACTTTTGTCTTTGTTCTTTTATCTTCTCCCTGTTTTTTGCCTTTGTGATGGGTGATGGAATCAGAGTCACAATGTCTGTCGTTTACTCTCTCAGTTTTGTTAAATCTTGATTTACCATTTGAAATGTATTGCCACATCCATGCAATTATCCTAATTTGTTTTGTTTTTGGTATTCAACAATTCTTTATCAAATATTTTATCAAATTTAAATAAAAATTCAATTCTTTCATTATTGTAATAAATGAAGTTTTTACCAAAGATTTCATTATATTAGGTATGAATCAAATTTTCACCAAATTTTCAACAATTTTTTTCCACACTAGTTTGATGAAATTGTTAGGAAATGAAGGATTGCAGAAACTTTTTTTCCCCCTCACTTGAATTGGTTAAAGGAGATTTTTGAGATAAGTTAGGTAGGTATTTTTGTAAAAAATTGGTGAAAATTTTGATTATCAACCATTTTTTTAAGGTAGGTATTTTGCCTATCAAATCAAGCTTTGTTCTAATTTTTTAATAATACTATAAATCCAGACTTAATTATCCAGAATTATCATCTTGTAATTCACATTTATTTTACACATGGATCTCAGATTATATAAATTTAATTTCAACCACATCTATTCAGGATAAATTCAGAGTACTTGAAGTGAAGTTCATAACATTTTTTCTAAAATTTTGAACTTTGATTAAAAAAGAAAAAAGAAAAAGAAAGAATAATAATAATAATAATAATTTAAATGAGATTATATATACATATATTATATTTAATATTTTTTCATCACCAAAAATATATATATTTGACAATTTCTTAAAAATAGACATAAATGTAAGCATGGGAAATTTCCAGTGAGTTTCAACTTACAAAATGCAAAATGCCAGGCAAAATTTATAGGCATCAACTTCTATTAGCAGGGCCTCTTCGAGCTCAGGATCCTTTGGTTGAGGGGGGTGATCAAAATTGATGCCGATGCAGATTTTAATGTTGAAAAATGCTAAACTGGTCTTGGGACGGTTGCTGTTGCTGAAAGCAATTGTTGCCTTACTAGCAGTAATAGCCAAACCTGTTTCTTTCGTTTCCTCCTCAAGATTGAAGGCGATGCCTTGGAGATTTATCATTCATCTACTGGGAAACAAAAGGCTTCCACTGATACAAAAGTTGCCATTCAAGATTGCAACTGAATGGCTTCATCCATCACTGCTTGTGTTTTTACACGTGTTTCTCGGAATTGGTAATGGAGCAGCCCACAATGTAGGGCACTATGCTCTCTTACAGTGGAAGATGAGGCTGGCCTGGGATAACCATTTTCCTCTCTGGTGCTTTCCTTTGTTCTTTCTCTGGCAAAAAAATATATTAAAATCAGTGACATCATAGATATTTCAAGGCAAATTTTATAGTCAGTTTCCTATATTCGATCAAAAGTAGCGTTGAAGAGTACATGAGTTTCAGGCTTGAAACAAATTTCTCTGCATCTGTCCCAGAAACCAAGGGAAGAAACTGATAGTTAATCAACTGCAACTCATAGCTCACCTCAGATGTTTACATAACTTGAGCAAATTACGAAAGCTCCCAATCTTCATCAATTCCTTTGTTCAAACAGTAGAAAATGCCTGCTAGATATTATTTGCACAGCAAAAAAATTTAGGAAAAAAAATACTAGAATGGTTCAACAAAATAAAGCTCTTCTTTTGGCCGACAGTAATGAAGTTCACAGCCAACATAAATTTAAATGTGTTTAAGAACTACGTAAACAGTACTCAAAAATAAATAAACAAGAAATCAGATAACCAGCAGTTAAACACGTGTAAGGATTTACAAGTTAAAAAATTTGCTAGAATTGGCAGTGTTACCAGAATAGCCATCAAAAAACAAAGAAAATAGAAAAGCAGCCAAGAGTTTACAGTGCAAACACAGTAGCCTACTAAAGGCAACACACAAATAGTGGTGATGTTCTTGTACTCCAGTCCATATGGACAAAAGAGACACAAAAGAGGGAAAAAATACATGCTGATGCAGGTTTTAATGTTGAAAAATGCTCAACTGGTCTTGGATGGTTGTTGCTGAGAGCAATTGTGCCTTGTTAGCAGTAATAACCAAACCTGTTTCTTTCGTTTCCTCCTCAAGATTGAAGGCAAATGACTTGGAGATTTATCATTCATCTACTGGGAAGCAAAAGGCTTCCATTGATGCAGAAGTTGCCATTCAAGATTGCAACTGAATGGCTTCATCCTTCATTACTTGTGTTTTTACTCGAGTTTCTTAAAATTGGTAATGGAGCAGCCCACAGTGTAGGGCACTATGCTCTCTGACAGTAGAAGATGAGGCTGCCTGGGTTAACCATTTTCCTCTCTTGTGCTTTCCTTTGTTCTTTCTCTGGTGAAAAAATAAATTAAAATCAGCGACATCTTAGATATTTGAGTTAGGAATGAGTATACTCAAGAATGGGTAGGAATAGTACCGATAGAAGATAAGCTGAAAGAGAATAGATTGAGATGGTTTGGTCATATACAACAGAGATCAACAAAGACAATAGTAAAGAGATGCGATACAATGACGGTAGATGATAGTGTTAGGAGAAGTGGTAGACCTAGATTGACGTAAACTAGTATAGTAAATAGAGATATGAATCTCTTTAATTTGACTAACGAAATAGCTTTGGATAGAATAGAATCGAATGGAGAAGAAAGATTCATGCAGCCGACCCCATTTGATGGGACTTAAAGTTTGGTTTGGTTTGGTTTGGTTTAGCGACATCATAGATATTTCAAGGCAAATTTTATAGTCAATGGTAAAATGTAATAACCTTAATGTTATGGGTTCAAGTCACGAGGCAACCACTTTGTGCATTATACCAAAAGTTACGTGTATACCCAATCTTTTCCCTCCGAAACACGCATTAAACAGTACTAATTGGGTGGTGTTGTTTTTTTTTTTTTTGTTTTTCTTTATTTTTTTATTTTTTACTATATATGGTCAAAAGGAGCCTTGAAGAATACATGAGTTTCAGGCTTGAAATGAATTTCTCTTCATCTGTCCTAGAAACCAAGGGAAGAAACTGTTGAATGTATAGATGAGAAGAAGAAGAAGAATTAGAACGAGAGAAAGCTGCTGTATAATATTGATTCAAAAAGCATAGGGTTTCCCCCTTACACATAACTACTTATACTAATAAGAATAATACATAAAGACCAAACTACCCCTAACACTTAACACTCCCCCTCAAATTGGTGCAAAGATGTTTCTCATGCCCAACTTGCAACAAATAGGGTGAAAGACTTTACTACTAAGATCCTTAGTAAAAACATCCGCCAATTGATCTTCAGACTTAACAAAAGGCATACATGTCACACTCTTATTCAATTTCTCCTTAATGAAATGTCTGTCACTCTCAATATGCTTAGTCCGGTCATGTTGAATAGGATTGTGTGCAATACTAATAGCAGCCTTGTTGTCGCAATACAAAGTCATGGGACCACTCCAATCAAGCCCTATATTACTCAACAAAGATTGAAGCCAAATTAGTTCATATGTTCCATGTGCCACAGCCCTGTATTCAGCTTCAGCACTAGATCTAGAAACAACTGCTTGCTTCTTACCATGCCATGTGACTAAATTTCCCCCTACAAAAGCACAATAACCGGAGGTAGAGCGCCGGTCATCTATAGAGCCTGCACAATCTGCATTTGTGAACGCTTCCAACCGCAAGTGACCATGATTAGAGAACAAAATTCCTTTTCCAGGGGCAGATTTAAGGTACCTCAAAATGCGATAGACTGCATCCAAATGAGTTGCACGAGGATCATGCATAAACTGACTCACTATCCCAACTGCATAGGCAATATTTGGACGAGTATGAGAGAGATATATCAGTCTTCCCACAAGTCTTTGGTACCTTTCCTTCTCCACGGGCTCACCAATTCCACTACAAAGATGATGATTAGTCTCAATTGGTGAATCAGCTGGTTTACAGCCCAACATGCCCGTTTCCTCAAGAAGATCTAGAATGTACTTCCTTTGAGAAATAAAGATGCCTTTATCAGACCGAGCAACTTCAATCCCAAGAAAGTATCGCAATGGACCAAGTTCTTTTATCTCAAACTCATTGGCTAATTGCATCTTGAGATGGGTCACCTCTTCCTCATCATTACCTGTCACAACTATGTCATGCACATATACAATAAGCACTGTTACCTTATGTACATTGCGTTTGACAAACAAGGTGTGATCCACATTGTTTTGCTGATACCCAAATCCCAGCATTGCCTTGAGGAATCTACCAAACCAGGCTCTAAGAGATTGTTTCAAACCGTACAAAGCCTTCTTTAATCTACAAACCTTGCCAACTGTAGACTGAGATGAGAATCCTGGAGGTACATCCATATATACCTCCTCCTCCAAATCCCCATGAAAAAAAGCATTCTTCACATCTAGTTGCTGTAGAGGCCATCCCAAATTAGCAACACATGACAAAATAGCTCGAATGGAATTCATCTTTGCTACCGGGGCAAAAGTTTCTTGATAATCTATTCCATATGTTTGGGTAAATCCCTTGGCCACTAGTCTTGCTTTGTACCGTTCAATCATCCCATCTGCATTGTGCTTAATGGTGAACACCCACTCACATCCGACTGGTTTTTTCCCATTCGGAAGAGACATCAACTCTCATGTGTTATTTTTACTCAAAGCTTGCATCTCTTCTACCATAGCTACCTTCCACTTAGGATCATTGATGGCTTCTTTCCAACCCTGCGGAATACACACAGAAGAAAGGGACGAAACAAAAGGTCCTATTTTTTAATTATTTTTTTTCTACACAAACACATTGGGGACACGTCACGAACACGCAAGAGTTTCTAGACACGCCCCAAGCATGATTATCTTGCCATGAACTGTTAAAGGAGTCCTCATGAATTCATAATCACCACTATGTAAACATGTTGTCTGTGTTAGTCATTGTTATGTAGTACTCTCTATCTTATTCCTTAAACAATACAAATAATTAGTATTTCCTCCCTTAATTTCAAAATAATTGTTTGATTGTTGAAGTTGTTGAATTGTCATTCTAAATTAGTGTTTGATTGTTGAACTAGCTAATTTTCTTTTTTGCTTTTTTTACTTGTAATGGTTCTAGAAGAACTAGTCTTCTTTGACTTGTGTTAGTAGCACACATTTATTTGGTATAATATATATATATATATATGTGTGTGTATTTATTTAATATTAATAAAAAAATATATTAGGTATAATATATATAATATATATATGTATTTATTTAATATTAATAAAAAGGCATATCTTATATCTTATATATATTAATCAAAAAAAAAAGTAAAAAAAATAAAATAAAAAAATTAATAGAATCATATTTATTTAAAAATATAATAATTAAATAAAATAATTAACTTGTATTAAAATAAAAATATTTATATAAAAAAAAAATTTTGTCGTGTCCCCAGCCGTGTCTGTGTCCCCATTTTTTAAAAAATTCCGTGTCCCGTGTCCGTGTCCGTATGCGTGTCCGTGCTTCATAGGCTTGCATCTCTTCTACCATAGCTACCTTTCATTTAGGATCATTGATGATTTTTTTCCAACCCTACGGAATACACACAGAAGAAAGGAACGAAACAAAAGCACGATACGAAGAAGACAACGAATCATATGACACGAATTTAGAAATAGGGTGTTGAGTACAAGCTCTAACCCCCTTTCTGAGAGCAATAGGAAGACTCAAATCATCCGTAACAAGACCATCAACAACAGGTGAAGAAATGAGATGAGGATCATTACCTGAAGAGTTAGTGGACACTGGGTGTAGAACTGGCATAGGAGATGATGATTGACTTGGTGGCACAAGAGAAGCCGGCTCTTTCTGACGCCGTGAATAAGTCTTAAGATCAGCTCTGTCCAAACGACCATCGATATCCGACTCCTCATTAACATAACTTCTAGGCTCCCCCCCACCACAAATAACAGCCCACTGAGTAGGAAGGAAAAAAGACAACTCATGCTGATATGATGCCGTCTCATCCGTAATCTCATCGATGCCACCCTCCCCCTGAGGAGATGGCAAAGGACCAGAAAAAAATGACTCAGATTCACAGAAGGTGACATCCATACTAACATACAGCTTATGAGAGTGAGGGTCATAGCATTTGTAGCCTTTCTGAGTAGCAAAATAATCAAGAAAGACACACCAGACAGCCTTAGGATCAAGCTTCCCACAAGTACGAGGGTGAAGATGAACAAACAGACACAACCAAAAACCCGAGGCGGAAGGGAAGAAGTGGAATAAGTCACAAGAAGAAGCTCAAGAGGAATTTGGAAGTGAAGGACACTAGAGGGCATACGGTTAATAAGGTAAGCCGCGGTAAGAACCGCATCCCCTCAAAAGGACTTAGGAACGTTCATAGTAAACAAGAGAGAGCGAACAACCTCAGGGAGATGGCCATTCTTACGTTCAGCAACTCCATTCTGTTCAGGAGTGCCAACACAACTAGTCTGATAAAGAATGTCATGCTCGTCGAGGTATGCCCAGAAAGCGCCATCAACATACTCAGTCCCATTATCACTCCTAAGAATTTTGATAGTAGCATTGAAGAGATTGGATACCATTTTATGAAAACTTTTGAAGCATGAGAAAACCTCATTTTTTGTACGAAGTAAATAAAGCCAAGTCACACAGGAATAACAATCAATAAATGTGACAAACCAACGATAACCAGAGGTAGAAACAACAGGGGAAGGACCCCACACATCGGTATGAATAAGCATAAAAGGAAAAGTACTTCTTTTATTTATTGAAGGATAACAAATACGTTTATGCTTAGCAAGCTCACAAGCATCACAAACAAAGTTATTCCTAGGACAATCACGAACTAATAAAAGAAAAAGTTTCTCTAAAATGCTAAATAAAGGATGCCCCAAACGGCGATGCCACTGATGAAGGAGACGAGGGAGGAGCCAGAAGCGCATTGAAGAGCCTGAGAGGACAAAGGTGAAGCAGAAATGGCATCCAGAAAGTACAGACCACTTTGTGCTCTACCACTGCCAATCATTTTCCCCGTAGCTAGTTCCTAAAAGACACAATGAGTCGGAAAAAAGGTTACAGAGCAATTGAGAGCAGTAGTAAGGCTACTAACAAAAAGTAAGTTAGTTGAAAAATTAGGAACATGAAGAACAGATGAAAGCAAAAGTAAAGAGGTGCAATCAAGGTTTTAAAAAGCGGCCGCAACCGTTACGTAACGCCGTTACGTAACGGTTTTGGCGGTTACCGCCACCCGTTACGGCCGCTTTTGCAATGTGATTGAGATTCA